GGATTCCTGACGAAAAAAACTTTATTACGTCAACAACAATTTACGAAATATATGACGTAACAAAAATGCCTCGCGCTTTTTATGGATGATTCCAGTTGCGGCATTGACAGAGGGCGGTTAGGCATATGTAACTTCAAACAGATAATTTTAAGCGTTGAGGTAAATTTGTCTTGATGGCATTTAAAATAATTTTTGTATACCCAGATTTTGCAACTTAACTGTAAAAATTACACCTTCAATTCATATATTAATAATATAAAACTTTTGATAACATTTAAAAATAATTTTAAACACACTTAATGACACGAATCTACAACAGTACAATACTTCTTCCATTAATTACATATAACATTCGTTTTGATTTTATGTTTTTAAACTATTTTATATATTTCTCAGAAATTTTTCCCTACATATTATCTCGTTATTCAAGACTTCTGTAAATCCCACTCTTTTAGCTACAAAATATACAATACGCGGTATTTTTTCTCCCGCGAAAAATATGCTAGATCTATTGTTTTTTCACTGAATATTTTCAAATTTTAGGAAGGCAAAAATTATTGAGAACGTCACTCGGTGTTTCTCTTTGACTCGATCTACCCTTCATAGCAAAATAATTATATGTAACACTTTGAGTCTACAAAAAACACTTAATGTCGCTTATTGAACACTCCAATTTAAACTTACTCTTAATAATATCAAACCACTGCCGGTATTTCTGGACATTTTGTTGAATTGTGAGACGGAAAGTTAAATCTGTATTTACGAGCTAAAAGTGTATAGGCCTACGTTTGATTGCTTAAACTAAAAAGCATGATATTATATTCTTATAATTTGAACGCGAGTCTGTGTTCTCTCGTTAGCGAGGGAGTTAGTTAAAGTAGTCACTGTTGTAACAAGCAAACCAATGCTGAACGTGTAGTGAATCAGTTTTCCTTTCTTTATATTTTTGTCAGATTTGCATGATAATGTAGTATTTGTTGGCGCTTTCTTGTGAAAGTTGAAACCTACGGAAAGTTTTAGCGCACGAACATCGCACCCGAAATAAGAAGGGTAACATATTTTTGTATCCTATCGAACCTGGTCAATTTATTTATTTTTGAATAGATGTGATACACACTTATGGACAGAATTCAGACAAATACGCAATTATGTAATTAAACATAAATTAGCGAAGAATCATTTTTATAGTCTTCTAGCTAAGATTCCCGCTCCCCTACGACGCGTTGCGGTATTCAAGATACGCGCTTGATTGAAAAGCTATCTAATCAAATCACTTCATTGTTCTTTTTACCTTAAAAATATAAAATACGACAGTATATCATGGTAATTAATTAAATTTTGTTTGTTAGAATTTATAAAGCTTACTGATATTTTCACTTCAAATGATTTTGATTATTTTAAATAATGGTTTGCTAGTAAAATTGCCTTTTGACACCAACTTTGTTGTCATTTTCCATTTTAATGATAACATTTAGCTAATGATCAGTAAGTAAATAAGAATAATATTTTTTTATAATTACCGAGTACATTTCACGCTAATTGTGAGACGAACCCTAAATCATGTAAATGACGTCTATATGGGCGCCGCCATTTTGAAATGGACGTCACGTCAGGTTACAACGTAAGTCAACGGGAAAAAATATAATTTTAACATTTTGACCATATTACAGACTTCATGAAAAAAATGAAAAACATGCCTAGAGATATTGACGTCAGGGTTAACATGACATTAATTTAAATGTTTTTACAATTATATTAAATAAAAAATAGAATGTTCAAATTTGATGGGACAGACTATATAAATATTTTATTTTTGCCGAGTAAAATACAATGAAATAAATAAAAACGAAATAATCCATAAAAACGGTTAGACAGAGTCTGCTTATTTGGTGTCAATGGAAAGTGTACGCTACTGTCCTAGGACTGCACGCCTAGCATCGGCCTAAGCACATTGCAACATTTTAGACAACAGAATCGCAAAACTTTGATTTTTAGAAAACATCAGATGGCGGTAAAGTGAAGTCATTATATAAAAAACACATATAATTAGTCTTGTGAGTAACAATAAAAATATTACCCCGGAAAAAATACCAGAGGCGTAATGTTTTCAATTTTCTTTAAATTTCCTTACTTTTTTGTTGGTGGTTTTTCAAAGGGAGATTCTTGTTCATATGATATTTTTTACTTTCTTTTGGAATTATTTCCCTTTAATTGCTTGCTTGATATACAACGCCAGATTTGTTAATAACATGAGAACATTGCCAAATGTTAGACATTTGTTTCAAAACAAACTGGAAGCATCGTCAGATCATTATCAACTCTGTCTGACAAAATATACGCAAATAGCAACTTGAATCTTTTTTTCCCCTGTTTTATTTAGAGCTTTCCTATACATAAATTATGAAGATTAATGAATGTAAAATTGATGATGATAATTGTTAAATAAATGACCTATCTATCAAAAATGTCGAAGGCAGATAACACAAAATGGAAATACAATGAAGGAGTGAAATAAAAAGTTGTATAATATATTTTATTGCATATTCAACATACAAATTTCACAAACATGTTACAAAAAAGCATTTTGATGACGTCAACAACAAATTAATACATACATTATATTCGTATACAAAAAATGTCTTTATATCTAAATCTATATTTACAATCTTTCAAGAGTCGAACAATTTTTTTTTCATGTTCATTTATTTAGATTGTCTTTTCATATATTTCACAAGCCAATGGTAAACATTAAGTTAACTTGAAATTGAAGGAGTAACCCTATTTTGTTTACATATTAAGATTATAAGAAAGAATATTCATTTATTTGGAAAATATTGTTTCTGATCCTTACAAAATTATCGTACTGTTTGTATGAGCACAAGTATTTTTGTTTAATTTTAAATGTTTTAAAAAAAATTGGGAAAACAAAAAATTTTTTTGGGAAATTTTAAATTAATTTAAAACCCGAAAAATTATAGGATGTTGTGTTTCCACTTACCCAGTCTGCAATTTTCGTTTAATTTTGTTGTGATTGAAGCTTCCGAGGTACACACTTTATCCATTTTTTTTTCACTTAAAGATCAAAGATTATTTTTTAATTTATTTCATTTTATTCGGTAAGACGTTTGTGTGTCAAATTCTATGACCAAAGCGATTATGTAGCCATTGTATATAAGACTCTTTAAAACTCTTAAAAAAACCAAAACTCTATATTTTATTCCAATTCATTTTTTTTTTCATTTGTAAAATATTTGCTCTTTTGTTAAATGAGTTATTGATCCACCCTCATGAACTATTTCATTTGTGTACAATAACAATTATTTTAGTACCATTGTACGCTTATCTTCCCTTAAACATTCATTTTCATAAGTGATAACAAAGATAATTGACAAGGAGTCCTCAAAACTTTGGAATACACAACCGATAAACACGTTTACACAAATACATTAATTTAATCAAATACGACTATAATGTCCACTACAACAAAAAAATAAATATTATAAATATTACATATTCATCTTAATATATAATAATGCTATTATGAAAGTTTCTTTATCAGGAACTTGTATTTGACTAGAACTAATTTAAATAAGATATGATATCACGAGGTAAGGTAGCGCCAGGTGTGATCCATTTCAGTCAAAGCCAGAAGAGCCATTTACAAGTAATATATCAAAATACTGCTACAATAATCCTTCAATTTCATACCTTGCTTAAACTTGATACATTTTAACGTAATTAAAGTAATCTCGATCACACATATTCATAGATATAGAAATTTAAAAAAAAACAGTTCAAACATTATAAATGTTTCTTGTGCAGTGTTGTAATAATATCTAAGAAATAACTACAACGTCTATATTTTTAATTATTTCGGTAGCGCTTTTAATGCTTGTTGTTATATATGTATCAACAACATCAATAACAATAACGACAAAAATATCAACAATAAGAAAACCCCAATATTTATAGCCATGTAATTTACACATAAAGCTATGAAGATTATTATATTATTCCGTGTGGCCTATTATGTTTTTTAATTTTGAAATTTGAATAATTCTTTTTTTTATTATCAAAGCATCGAAATTAATTTCGTAACTGCCCTGATAAATATATATTTGATCTTTTAATTTTATTTGTAATTCTTGTACTTGTTATAAGCATTTTGTTATGTATTATGCAATTTGTACTGTTCGTTTAAAAAAAAACGAAAAAAAAAAACAAAAACAAAAAAAAAAACAGTAGTTTTATTGAAAGTTTCAAGTCGGTGCTAGTTGTAAAAGAGATATGAAACTTTCCATAACCCTAGACTGATTTTCAAATTGTTTATTTTCATAACTCTCTCTCTCGGGACCTATCTTTTTTCAGAATTCTGATGACATCATGGCGTTTGGTAGAGAAAGATGTCGGGTACCCTTCCGTGTATTATTTCAGGCACGATTGAGCACCCGAATCCAAATCTCTTGATGGAATCGAACGGTGAGCGGCAAATGATTTTCTGTTTTAACACCTTTACCAATGAATGGTTCACGGAGCATTGTATCAGGTACATAAAACACTTATTGTTTAAATATTACATTTTATAACGTTTTGAAATAAAATCATTAAGCCTGATGTAATCATGGATTCTGTATTCCATATGCGTGAAGTCAAACAATATGATAGTCAAAACGGTATCCCAAAAGAACGCTAAAACGACAAAATTGAAAATGTGCGGACTTGGTTTGAATCCGCTTATTCATGGACGGCACTGGTAAGTACCGGTACTATCCAAGCACACAGCACTGGCTTCAGCAGAATTCAGCATTTAGACAAGAAAAATGGCGAAATTTTGAATTAAGAAACATCCGCAGATGTATTCATACAACAACCCTACAACAACCATAAATATGTTGAAATTTCAGTTACTTCTTCTTAGCTTCATAACAGTTATTTTTGAGTGAGTAGTATTGACCCCAACATCCGGCCCAAATTATACCGTGACCATATTCTTTGTGTACCCCGTTCAAGTACAATCCATTTAGACTCGCCTTGTGTACATGCGTTGTACCACCAAGCTCCTTTATATGCTACTGCATAGTTGTCGTCGCTGGCGTCGTTTATCACTATCTTTGGTTGTAAATTGACAACCATTATGAAACCACATGGAATCGGCGCACGGGCCTTCATAGCCTCCAACTGTCAATCTGTAATTATCATTCTCATCATTAACTCTGAAAAGATAGAGTATTCAGCAAAAGCAGAAAAACGGATTCATATTGTCATTCTGAAACGTTTCCATGTATATATAAAGTGAATTGTTGTTTTCTGTTAAATAGTATATGTTTCCAAGTCCTTAGCCAATACTCGCACAATTTTGTGCCAAATCCAGTTTTTATATTCTTTCCATCCCTGAAATACTTCTAATCCATCTTGTCGCGTTGTATCAACCGTCACCCACCGTTGGAACATGTCGCACAAACATCTGTAAGCAGATGTATTTCCGCTGGTTGATCAATACACACCGGTCCTGCGGCGTAACCTTGGTGATGAGCGCAATGAAACATTCAATGGCCCTGGTTGCTTGTGTATTCGTGTCACTGTTGATTGGCCTCCTGTAAAAATAAAAGTAAAGTCCGACGTGAATTCTCACTTATGCAATATATCCTTTCGACAAATTTATTAGTTTTTTTACATAAGTTCGATGAACAACAATGTATATCAATTAACCCTTTCCTGCTAAATACCGATTAAAACATTTTTCCTCTTTTAGTCTGAAACAAAACCAGTTAAAAAAGATATTCAAATTAGCAATTTATACATTTTGTAGTAGTTTAAAGTGCATGAATAAAACGTTACAGATATATTGCATACAATGAACTGTTAAACATGCTTTTGCACGGAGCAAACTTGAATATTTTCGGTAAGATTTTACCCATTTACAGAGACCCTACGGACGATTTCAATGCAACATTTTAGCTTCATCTCTCACTATGTTAGTACTTTCGATATTTTAATTATTCGTGATAGCATTAAAATATCCAACACGGATAATATAATTTATGAATTGTCTGTAAAATATGGAATGCTATATTTTAATCAATTGCTAAACAATATTCACTGATAACTCAAAACATATCAATATTAATGTTTACTCGTTCAATTGTTTAAAATATAAAAAAGTGTAAATGATCTTTTTCTTAAAATCTCGATATTTTTTATAGTTACTGACAGTTAACTATCTCGTGGTATTGAATATATTGAATAAATGTTAACAAGGCAAAGTCAATAAATGTACACAATGTTAGACAATGAATAAAGAATGACTACTATTTCTTACTGGAATATATGCTCTTGTCTCTTTTTCTTTTCTTAATCTGCGCCCACATCCTCAATGCTTACTATATCATTTTCAACCGATGCACAAAGACATGTTGCTTTGTATTTGCCCTGTCCTGTTTTTGTTTGGGGTCCGCCTGGGCTCCTTCCCATTGGTTGATCTTGTTTATCATATTGAATTATGTGCAATAAAATAAAACGATGACCATTCCAACTTTTAACACTTGAAAGTGCATGACACCAAGGACTTTTCTTGTATTGAAATAACAGATGTACCCAATTGCGGAGTGTAGGTTGTTTATTTCTAGCTTGTATGTCGATATTACTCTTTCATTTGCAAAGATTTATACTATAGAAAGAGCTTGAAGTATAGCTTTTGCTTTAAAACAAACAAATTTCTTTTCTTTCCAAGTTAAACCATGACAAAAAAAATCTGAAAACAAAGTGATCCCTCGGAAGCATTAATCACAACAATATTACAAGAGAATTGCATACTCGGTTTGATTGAGTCTGTACGTGAGAGATACTCTATACGTGCAACATCCCGCACGCCCCCTAGCACCGGCTTGAGCGGTTATCAATTCTCAACACTTAATAGTGCTGGCATCAATGATCATTTGAACATGCGCTTTAGATCTAAACGCGCTAGTTCAATAACAGTTAATTTACAATTGTCAGTTGTATAACATTACGTTTTGTTGTTATGAATACCTCAGACCAGATATGCAACATTTCCGACAATGCATTGTTTTTTTTCTTATTGTTGTTAAAATGTTACTTGCAATTTGTAAAATAATGGAATGATTGAAAAATGAGAGATAATTGATGTGTTATCGATTTTATTGTCAAAAATGATCCTCATGAAAGCGTATAATTTTAATACTTGAGATATTAACAACATACATAAATTCAATCCTTAGTAAAATGTTTTCAATGCCTGTTCAGATTATGCAATGGTTTGGAACTTTGGATATTGAATAAAATATGAGTAACTACACTTTTTATTTCTTTTTTCGTTTTGTTAATTACTGCAGAAATTCTACTGGAGCATTTTAAAGTTGAGATACCTATTGATTTCAAAAAAGAACAAAGATCACATGCAAAACATGATAATTGTATGCATGTACGTATATTGTCGGTTTTACAGGTTAAAAAACATTTGCCATTGTAATACAAATGTCCTATTGTTTAGGTCGGTGACAGCTGTTATCCTCAACAAAATAGATAATTTATTCACTAATAAAATCACCATGTACGGCACATACAAAATAATGATTTTACTTTGTTTAAGCGAAACGTATTCATGCCGGAACACTTTATTGTCGGTCATCAGCTATTCGTAATATAGAATTATATATAAATATTTGCACATCTACGATTTTAGATAAATTTAGTATTGTTTTACATTATATGGAACTATATTGTTCTTTAAAAATTTGCGTTATATCTTAGATTAAAAAGATATTTTATTCTTGTTTTCTTTCGTATTAATGATCCTCAATAAACCAAGCTTTTATGAAAGCTCCCCCCCCGATAAACGAAGTTTTTGAGTGACCCTGTACAAATGGTCAGTTCTTATATGTATCTATATGAGACGATTATAAGTGTCAATTTTAAACTTTTTTTCGTTAAACAAACAATTCAAACAAGTTATGATATTAGTTATACATCTTACCATTGAAACAAGGGAAACAAGTGAATATTGGCCAATTTAGGAGTATTGATCGATACAAAAAATGGATAGTCATCATTTTAATGATACGTATTTTCATTTATTTTTAAAACTCTGAACAAGTCGACACTGGCTGAAATTTCATTGAACTTCGTTCTATAATATGATCTCTTTTTTAGTTAGAGTACTAAATATCTTCAATTTAATCGTCGTTGCATACAATGATACAAATTTGTCGCGCTGGATTAAAAGTGTACTAATGCGCAACAGGAAACACTTTGTTTTATATATATTCACGTTATTTTTTTGATGAATTTATCGTGAAGCACACGTTGTGTTATATTTATCTCGGTCAGGCTATATTCTCCCTAAAATACCGGAAAACAATTTGTATTACTATAATAACTGTTAATATTTTCAGAAATGTTATAATTCCGACCTTTGAATATCGACCAGCAGATTCTCTGTGTTCGGGATTTTTAAGTTCTTTAATTGTGAAAAACTGGAAAGGTGAATGCATAAATATTGTATATCCACCCATAAGAGTTTTAAATTACAGCTGTTTTAACTCGTTAGCCATAACCTTTACAGTGTTTGAATTGAAACTCAACAAAAAATATTTACAAATAATACTCTGACGAGGTTAAAATGCCTTTACTTGTATAGATTATTCCGGAGTTATGTCTTCCCATTTGATTTTTAGATCTAGAAAACACTGCAAGATATTTTTCAAAACGAAACTCTCGTGTATTCACTGACGTATATTTGTACCCATTATGTATGCTTTATTTATATGCAAAAATATAAGGAAATTTTGAATTTTATATCAATTTAACACATCATTAATCATATATAAAGAACATATGATATAATCTTTTAAGAGTTCCAAAAAAAAAAAAAATGTTAGGGACCTTTTTTTGTTGGTGTCTTTCGGTATGTATGTATGAATTTCCGAGATCGTTAGCGTTATTGGTAGTCTCGTTTTTTTGGACACAAATGATAAGTTATTATACAATCATATACTTCAGTAAATTCTTATGTTGAATAAGCTATTCTCAAGAGAATAAATGAAATTTTAAGAGGACTGTAACATGTTTAATTGGAGCAAATACGGTTCACAAATATCCGAGAAACTTCAGCTAGAATGTTTGTTTCCGATTCCCCCTTTGTTTGTTGATAATCTGAACGTTTAATAGTTTCGGGGCGAACCTTTTATATTAATACTGTTATTCTAGAATGGCCAATAAAATGTTCTGATTTTCAGTTTGAAATTTTTTTTAAAATGACCAATGAACGTCATACATTTATTCATTTTCACAGAAAGACAAATTTTCCCTAGACGGCATTTCTTCCGAAAACACAAGAATCAATCTCATGATTGAAGGTTTTGTTTAAAGGTGGTAAACTATATGAGTAAATATAAGCTGTCATCGAAAATAATCGAGCATAAATCTTGTCAACTACTAGTATTGAACCCAATTCCTTCTTGTAAATCAAAACGCAAAACCATTTATTGGGTAACAAAGAACGTGTAAATTAACGATCTTTTCAGTAATTGCAATGTTGAGATATTAAGCACAAACATGGTTAACGCGGATTGATGGCCTAGTGGTTAAGGTCTCTTCCTCTCAACCCACAGATCATGGGTTCGAGCGCTACTCGGGTCACGATCATGTTTCTTTATATGACACGACCATGTTTCTTTATATGACACCAGTATTGGCTTGTTCCAGGAAGCGAACTCGAAAGTGGTTAATATAAGCTGCAAGAACTTGTTTAGCAATCGAGCTTAAATAACTATATTTAAAGTGACATTATGCCAATCTGAATGTATATAGTGAGTGAGTAATAGTAAAAAAAAATTCATTTTGCCATAATTCCATTTGATTTAATAATTTACTTCACATAAACAATACATAACCACCGGAATCAAACGAAATTTCAGTAAATATCATTTAGAATTTACCTGTAACGTTCAATTTATAAAAAAAGTGGGGCAGTCTTTCTAATATTTTTAAGGCAGATATTAAAATTTTATTTCCTAAATTTTCCAAAGTATTAATCTTTTGATCAAACATACAATTTAAAACAGTCAATAATTTTTGAAATTAAAGGGTCAATTTCAGTTCAACGTGAAAATGGA